TTCTCCTTCCCCTGGACACTCCAAACTCCTCCGAGGCCACCTTACGAATGCAAGTCGCCATCTTCATCCACACATTGTCCGCATCCCCTCCTTCCTCCCAAGGGCCCTCCTTAAATACCCTCTCCTTGAACACCTGAGCTACCTCCCCCTTGAGCTTCCACCACTTCGTTCTAGCGACCTTGGCACGCTTATCCCGCTGGACACGAATCCGAAAGCGGAAGTCAGCAACCACCAGCTTATGCTGGGGTACAAAACTCTCCCCAGGTATCACTTTACAGTCTAGGCACGCACGCCTATCTTCTCTTCTCGAGAGGATGAAATCAATCTGGCTAGAGTGTTGGCCACTACTAAAAGTCACCAGATGTGATTCTCTCTTTCTAAAGAGGGTGTTAGCTACAATCATGTTGTAGGCTAGAGCAAAGCTTAAGACATCTTCTCCTTCTTGATTCCTGATGCCATAGCCAAAGCCCCCATGCGCCCCTTCAAAACCTGTGTTAGATGTACCCACGTGGCCATTGAGGTCTCCTCCTATGAAGAGCTTCTCACCAATCGGTACACTCCTAACCATGTCTTCCAAGCCTTCCCAGAACTCCCTCTTGGTGTTCTCATTGTGGCCTACTTGCGGGGCATATGCGCTGATAACATTGAGAACCAAGTCCTCAGCTACCAGCTTGACCAGGATAATCCGGTCCCCACGTCTCCTGACGTCTACCACTCCATACTTGAGGCTCTTGTTGATCAAGATGCCTACGCCATTTCTGTTTGCAGCCGTCCCCGTGTACAACAGCTTGAAGCCAGTATCCTCCACCTCCTTCGCCTTCTGTCCTCTCCATTTGGTTTCTTGGACGCAAAGGATATCAACACCTCTCCTCACTGCTGCATCAACTAGCTCCCGAAGCTTCCCTGTCAGAGACCCTGCGTTCCAGCTACCTAAGCGAATCCTCCTAGGCTCGGCTAGCTTCCTTACCCTTCGCACTCGTCGAGTCAAATGCGAAGACCCTTGCTCATTTTCCACTACATCCGGGCGCCGATGTAGCGCGCCACTAAGGATGCGACGACCCGATCCTCGCTCACTTGCCACCGTATCTGGATCAAGATACAGCGCGCCACTTGGGGGGTGACGGCCCGGCCCTTGCCCATTTTCCACCAGACCCGGGTTCCGATGTGGCGCGTCGCTGAGAGGGTTACGCCCCAACGAAAATCTTTTGGGTTTCATCTCCATAAGAGTGGCTGAGTTTTTATGTTGGCTCGCCAAGCCTATCACAACCCTCCTCCTTTACCTGGGCTTGGGACCGGCTATGTTGAGACAACATAGGCGGAGTTGTTCATCTTCCATTTGGCAATCGACCGAAATTTCTTTAGCTGGACATTGGCTGGAATGACTAGATACATACAACACTGAATTAGAAAATGAAGGATTAATGAAGTAACATGAAGGTTGAAGAAAGATCACATACTTCTAAAGGACAGCGGAAGTAATGTCAGTTTCAATTATTGGTGAGCTCATCTCATCGCCCGGTAATGGATTAATGTGTTCATCTTCCATTTGGCAACAACAACAACAAACAACAACAACAACAACAAAGCCTTTAGTCCCAAACAAGTTGGGGTAGGCTAGAGGTGAAACCCATAAGATCTCGCAACCAACTCATGGCTCTGGCACATGGATAGCAAGCTTCCACGCACCCCTGTCCATAGCTAGTTGTTTGTCGATACTCCAATCCTTCAGGTCTCTCTTAACGGACTCCTCCCATGTCAAAATCGGTCGACCCCGCCCTCTCTTGACATTCTCTGCACGCTTTAGCCGTCCGCTATGCACTGGAGCTTCTGGAGGCCTGCGCTGAATATGCCCAAACCATCTCGTACGATGTTGGACAAGCTTCTCCTCAATTGGTGCTACCCCAACTCTATCTCGTATATCATCATTCCGGACTCGATCCTTCCTCGTGTGGCCACACATCCATCTCAACATACGCATCTCCGCCACACCTAACTGTTGAACATGTCGCCTTTTAGTCGGCCAACACTCCGCGCCATACAACATTGCGGGTCGAACCGCCGTCCTGTAGAACTTGCCTTTTAGCTTTTGTCGCACTCTCTTGTCACAGAGAATGCCAGAAGCTTGGCGCCACTTCATCCATCCGGCTTTGATTCGATGGTTCACATCTTCATCAAAACCCCCATCCTCCTGCAACATTGACCCCAAATACCAAAAGGTGTCCTTCCGAGGTACCACCTGGCCATCAAGGCTAACCTCCTCCTCACAACTAGTAGTACTGAAACCGCACATCATGTACTCGGTTTTAGTTCTACTAAGCCTAAACCCTTTCGATTCCAAGGTTTGTCTCCATAACTCTAACTTCCTATTTACCCCCGTCCGACTATCGTCAACTAGCACCACATCATCCGCAAAGAGCATACACCATGGGATATCTCCTTGTATACCCCTTGTGACCTCATCCATCACCAATGCAAAAAGATAAGGGCTCAAAGCTGACCCCTGATGCAGTCCTATCTTAATCGGGAAGTCATCGGTGTCGACATCACTTGTTCGAACACTTGTCACGACATTAATGTACATGTCCTTGATGAGGGTAATGTACAGTGCTGGGACTTTGTGTTTCTCCAAGGCCCACCACATGACATTCCGCGGTATCTTATCATAGGCCTTCTCCAAGTCAATGAACACCATATGCAAGTCCTTATGCTCCCTATATCTCTCCATAAGTTGTCGTACCAAGAAAATGGCTTCCATGGTCGACCTCCCAGGCATGAAACCAAACTGATTTTTGGTCACGCTTGTCATTCTTCTTAAGCGGTGCTCAATGACTCTCTCCCATAGCTTCATTGTATGGCTCATCAGCTTAATTCCACGGTAATTAGTACAACTCTGAACATCCCCCTTGTTCTTGAAGATTGGTACTAATATACTCCGTCTCCATTCTTCTGGCATCTTGTTTGCCCGAAAAATGAGGTTGAAAAGCTTGGTTAGCCATACTATCGCTATGTCCCCGAGACCTTTCCACACCTCAATGGGGATACAATCAGGGCCCATCGCCTTGCCTCCTTTCATCCTTTTTAAAGCCTCCTTCACCTCAGACTCCTGGATGCGCCGCACAAAACGCATGTTGGTCTCATCAAAGGAGTCATTCAGTTCAATGGTAGAACTCTCATTCTCCCCATTGAACAGCTTGTTGAAGCACTCCCGCCATCTATGCTTAATCTCTTCGTCCTTCACCAAGAGTTGGCCTGCTCCGTCCTTGATGCATTTGACTTGGCCAATATCCCTCGTCTTCCTCTTCCGGATCTTAGCCATCTTATAGATGTCCCTTTCACCTTCCTTCGTGCCTAACCGTTGGTAGAGGTCCTCATATGCCCGACCCCTTGCTTCACCAACAGCTCGCTTTGCGGCCTTCTTCGCCATCTTGTACTTCTCTATGTTGTCTGCACTCCTATCCAGGTATAGGCGTCTAAAGCAATCTTTCTTCTCTTTAAGCGCCTTCTGGACATCATCGTTCCACCACCAGGTATCCTTATCTTCGCTTCTCCTTCCCCTGGACACTCCAAACTCCTCCGAGGCCACCTTACGAATGCAAGTCGCCATCTTCATCCACACATTGTCCGCATCCCCTCCTTCCTCCCAAGGGCCCTCCTTAAATACCCTCTCCTTGAACACCTGAGCTACCTCCCCCTTGAGCTTCCACCACTTCGTTCTAGCGACCTTGGCACGCTTATCCCGCTGGACACGAATCCGAAAGCGGAAGTCAGCAACCACCAGCTTATGCTGGGGTACAACACTCTCCCCAGGTATCACTTTACAGTCTAGGCACGCACGCCTATCTTCTCTTCTCGAGAGGATGAAATCAATCTAGCTAGAGTGTTGGCCACTACTAAAAGTCACCAGATGTGATTCTCTCTTTCTAAAGAGGGTGTTAGCTACAATCATGTTGTAGGCTAGAGCAAAGCTTAAGACATCTTCTCCTTCTTGATTCCTGATGCCATAGCCAAAGCCCCCATGTGCCCCTTCAAAACCTGTGTTAGATGTACCCACGTGGCCATTGAGGTCTCCTCCTATGAAGAGCTTCTCACCAATCGGTACACTCCTAACCATGTCTTCCAAGCCTTCCCAGAACTCCCTCTTGGTGTTCTCATTGTGGCCTACTTGCGGGGCATATGCGCTGATAACATTGAGAACCAAGTCCTCAGCTACCAGCTTGACCAGGATAATCCGGTCCCCACGTCTCCTGACGTCTACCACTCCATACTTGAGGCTCTTGTTGATCAAGATGCCTACGCCATTTCTGTTTGCAGCCGTCCCCGTGTACCACAGCTTGAAGCCGGTATCCTCCACCTCCTTCGCCTTCTGTCCTCTCCATTTGGTTTCTTGGACGCAAAGGATATCAACACCTCTCCTCACTGCTGCATCAACTAGCTCCCGAAGCTTCCCTGTCAGAGACCCTGCGTTCCAGCTACCTAAGTGAATCCTCCTAGGCTCGGCTAGCTTCCTTACCCTTCGCACTCGTCGAGTCAAATGCGAAGACCCTTGCTCATTTTCCACTACATCCGGGCGCCGATGTAGCGCGCCACTAAGGATGCGACGACCCGATCATCACTCACTTGCCACCGTATCCGGATCAAGATACGGCGCGCCACTTGGGGGGTGACGGCCCGGCCCTTGCCCATTTTCCATCATACCCGGGTTCCGATGTGGCGCGTCGCTGAGAGGGTTACGCCCCAACGAAAATCTTTTGGGTTTCATCTCCATAAGAGTGGCTGAGTTTTTACGTTGGCTCGCCAAGCCTATCACAACCCTCCTCCTTTACCCGGGCTTGGGACCGGCTATGTTGAGACAACATAGGCGGAGTTGTTCATCTTCCATTTGGCAATCGACCAAAATTTCTTTAGCTGGACATTGGCTGGAATGACTAGATACATACAACACTGAATTAGAAAATGAAGGATTAATGAAGTAACATGAAGGTTGAAGAAAGATCACATACTTCTGAAGGACAGCGGAAGTAATGTCAGTTTCAATTATTGGTGAGCTCATCTCATCGCCCGGTAATGGATTAATGTGTTCATCTTCCATTTGGCAATTGACCGAAATTTCTTTAGTTGGACATTGGCTGGAATGACTAGATAAAACACCGAGTTATAAAATGGAGGATTAATAAATTAACAAAAAGGTTGAAGAAAGATCGCATACCTCTGAAGGACAGCGGAAGTAATGTCGCTTTCAATTATTTGTGAGCTCTTCTCATCGCACGGTAATGGATTAATGCGTTCATCTTCCATTTGGAAATCGACCGAAACTTCTTTAGCTGGACATTGGCTGGAATGACTAGATACAACACTGAATTATAAAATGAAGGATTAATCAAGTTACATGAAGGTTGAAGAAAGATCGCATACTTTTGAAGGACGGGGGAAAGAGTGTCACTCTCCATTGTTGGTGAGCTCATCTGATCAGGTGGTGCATGCTTGGGGCACCAAACACGGCGATTCTCCTTCAAAATCAAAACTAAACATGTCAGAACATCAGTGTTTATAAATGGATCAAGCACAAGCTATACTCAAAAGCTTACATCATCCCAGCGGCATTCTGGTATCATCATTGCACATGGGACATGATAACTTTTTCTGCAGGAGTTGTCAATACAACCAAGCGCTGCTCCCCGGAGTTTGCATCTTCTGCATCTCAATCTTTTAGAACGATTGATTTCACTCTCCACATTCTTAAAAGTATCACCATTGGATTCCACTTTTGGGGCCCTTCAGAAACATGGGTAAAGAATTAAAAGGATGGATGAACACTGCATATGATGATTCTAAATAAATTAAATATGAAGGGTTAACCATGCTGTATAAAGAAACTTACCAAACCATGCATTTCTCGTGGACATAGATGGCGTTGGTAGGGATGCCCTCGTCGCTGGGCACAATCCTTCTATTGTGATACAGTACCATCGGACCATGGAACTGACATAGGAAAAGTGAACATTTTTAGTGCCAGTACAAATAAGAAGACTTCAACAGACATATTTTACTGATATGTGTAAATGATATGCAGCATATTACCTGCTCACTGGTTCTAAATGAATGGCAGAAAACGCATTCATCTTCAAATACGCCGATTGGTGTCTGATCTCTCCCCAACCTAGTAGCACCTTTGTTGTCTTCCAGCTTTGCATGTTTCCCAGGACCCTTACCTTTTCTGCGGGAATGCAGGTGCTGCCCAGTGTTACTTGCATTAACACCAGGTGATGCACCTTTGGTTGCATCAACAACAAATTTCCTCTTTGTGCCTTTCACGGGGGATGCACTTCCATTCTGTAACAAAGAGTAATCCAGTTAGAATGTTGAATACACAATGCATGTAATTCATCAAGGAGTAAACAGTTGATTCTATTATGGTTGCTATTCCAGCACTTTTATATGTGTTGTAGCGTAAGAATGTACCAGTCGCTAGCATGAAACTGTGCTCTACTTATATGCATAAGTAATACACGAATACGTCAGGATTGGGGCAAAGAACTCCATCAAAAATGAACATATTTGTTTCAAAGAAGAAAGGAATGCACAAAGTACCCCAACATGTCGTGGAACCTCAAGATTATCACAGCCAGCTTCCATTCCTATGTCGACCAACATATCGGTACGAGTAGCAGACTTGGTACCTACAAGCATCAAAGTGGTGAGCAGAATGAAGCTGAAAACAATTACTGAACATGGCTTGTTTTATCATAATTTCAAGCAGATGTCTGTCCAGATGAACTGCATAATGACATCATGATATTTTTGAAAACGATAGTTCAACCATGCCCCAACACAATGCAGCATGGATTTAGAGATTTGCGGTCTATTTGGTGAGCCGCGTTGGAGTTGCCGTAAGTCTTTGACGCATCAAATCGATCTAGGGTGTGAATTTTGAAAAAGACAAACTGTACATTATGTAAAACAAGAGATTGAGAGGAGCTTAGCACCATATGCGCATCCTAAGAATTGAAAAAAAAATACTATAGTCAGTAGATCACACCGAACGATTAGGCCACTTGAAAAACAGAAGCCGTACTTGGCGCTGCGGCGGCGACCCGTGCGATGAGGGTTTGGAGGAACCGAGGGAGAGAAAAAGACGCAGGCCCGTTTGATCGGAGTAAGGCAGGCGAGCCCGACGGCGCGCGCCGCGTCGTTTGCCGGCTGGAAGCAAGAGACGGACAGTTGGCCGTACGGGAGCAAGAGGCAGAGTGAAGGGGGGCGAGCGAACCTCCGGACTGCGTCGATGACGGCCGCGCGGCGCCGAATCCCGGGGCCGGTGACGGCCTCTGGCTCCCCGAGGCTGTTGCGCCCAATCCCCCGGTCGGCCGGCCGAATCCCGGCGGAGGCGACGACGCTAGTATCTCTCTCCACACGACCGCTCCGCTCCCGCTCCCCATCAATATCGGCACGCCCGGCGGGCGGCGGCTACTTGACGACGATCTAATGGCCTTGGCGACGGCGGAGCAGTTGCGGTTTAATGTGGCGACGGCGGAGCAGTTGCGGTTTAATGTGGCGACCGGCGGCGCTGGAGAGTGGGCGGGAGGAGCGAGGCGCAGATTTGACAAGGAGCAGGCAGGCGCGCGGCATGGCAGGGGGCGTGGCCGCTGGCGAGCGTTCGCACTACTTGAGTGAACGAGGTCAGAAAAAGGAGACTTTTTGCGTGGCCGGGTGGGTTCTCTCTCTCGCCTCGTCTTCCTCGCTCCCTCCTGACTGGCTGACTGCACCCCACCCCGGCCTACTCCCCCCTATATCCCTAGCCTTTTTCTGAAACGTTGCAAAGAAACGGCGCGGCATGTATGATTCGCACAGTGCTCGCCCCGTTCCGGCCGAGCACGGCGACCCGGCGGCCTGTGTACGCGCGCACGCAGACACGTTGCGGTGCGACTGATGTCGCCGGAGCTCCGACCGCGCGTACCAAAGAAATCTCTTCCCGGACCGCGCCGCGAGATTTCATACGGAAATGGTCGTGCCAGCAACTCGTGCGGTTGGACGGAGAACGGTGGTATCCCCTAGCCATCAGTCTTCAAGTCCCAAACTTGACATTGACGTTGCTGCTTGCAGAAGCCTCGCGAACGCTGCGCCCACCGGGATCTTTCACTAGGCTCCAAGACTCCGAAGCGCCGGCACCTATCAACACCTCCAAGAAGGATCGTGACGACGCTGCTGTCAAGGGTTTCCCCCGGTACACGACGAGGCGAGAGGAAGGGTAGCCCCCGACGCCCTCCCGGAAGGTCAGGTGGCACCCACAGGCGCCACCGCGCCGGTGTCGGCCAGCCGACAGGGGTTTCCCCCGATCCCAACCCACACCTCGGGCGCTCCGGAGCCAGCCACCAAACCAACCACCACCCAGCGCCAACACGGTCAAGAGGCCCCCACGCCGTCTCACCACGACACCGCGAAGTGAGGACAACCAGGCGAAGAATCAGAGCCGGGACTAGGGCAGCAGCACCGTCGGCACGCGGGAGGGCCCCACCTCCACCGTCAGCGACGGTAGCCGTCCGGACGCAATAGCAGGAGCACACCAGGCCCGTAGGCCCACAGGCCCGGCCGAGCCCTCGTGGCCCGTAAAGCTCCCACCCTCGCGCTGCTGCCGGCACGCCATCGGCGCCGCCGCCCACATCCGAGCCGCTCCTCCTCCACACCGAGCCGTAGACAGTAAGGCCACGCCGGCGCCGGCCCGCTAGGACCCAGATGGGGCCCTAAGGGCCCAGATCTGGGCCGGGGGCGCGTCGCCGGCCACCAGCGCCACCAGGCCACCCCGCCGCCAAGAGGCAGCGCCACCACCGCGCCAGCCGCCGGCCCCCGCCACCAGGACGCCGGACCACCGCCAGCCGAGCTGCACCCGCCAGCCGAGCTGCACCCGCCGCCGAGCCCTGCCCCGGGAAGGGCGCTGCGCGCGGGGGAAAAGAAGGCCCGCCGCCGCCGAGCCACCCGGCCAGATCCGGGGGCGCTGTCCGGCGGCGGCGGGGGAGGGAGGACGGAGGGGTGGGGGCGAGGAGAAGGCGCGGAGGAGCCGCCCCGGCCGCCGCCCGGGGAGGCGGCGCGAGGCGGAGTCGGGAGCTTGAGCTAACTTTAAGCTGGGATTCATAGAGGCAGAATTTGCGTGTGTGCGTTTATAGAAGTGAGTGTATGCGAGCGACTTCGATTGTACTCACCTGGAACAGGGGTGGATCGGATGGCTACACAGGCATGCTTGGCGATTTGGATCCTCTAACTTACTGCTTTGGGATTTTGTATCCCTGACATGTGAGTTCGTTAGGTGGCTGGCCCACATGTCAGGGGCACAGACTTACGGTGGAGTGCGTTGGAGAATCCGCGCCGCATGTTTGGCTTCCTATTAATTTTCTTGCAAAATTTGGAATGGGGATTAATTGGTATAACAAGTAGCAAATAAAGCGAAGACGCACAAGAAAATCCAGTCAAGACCATTAATAATAAAATTAATAATTGAAATAATAGATTTTTGCATCGATTATCAATTTTTTCCTTGGGAAGCAAATCTTTCTTTCCCGGGGTATGTGAGAGAGGGATTCCTCAAGACTTGCCAGCTGATGTGCGGAACAAAATTACCATGTTGGTCATGATGAGTGAAGGTAGAAACGTTGACAAAATTGCAGTTAACTAGATGAGAAAACAAAAGGTAAGGAATTGGCGATACCCGTCTCTTGATTGTTTTGTCGACGGAGACGACGCTGTTGCCACCAGCACCACAAGACCAAGACCGACCATCAACACCACGTGGTCGAGATCATCACAAGCCACCATGGCCACATAGTCACCGGCGAGGTTGGGATTTGCCTGGTAGCTTAACCAAGCGCGGAGAGGGCAAGATCGCGATGGAGAGTTGGCTAGTTGTATATTCGATCGAGATGCGGTGGGAGCCTGGCGGCGCTAGGGCTAGGGCGATGGGATATGTGGTCGGGGAGAAAAGTGGGCGGGAGATATAAAGGCCGAGGACACTGCTTTTGCACGAATCTTCTAGCAAATTGTACCGTTCAAGCATCGACTAAAGTGCAAACAATAAACATGTGACGTGTTGTTAGGTGATATATTTTGAAATATTATTATTGATTTGCCGAGATATAAGATTACACAATGGGGGAGGAACAAGATATGTTTGAGTTATTGACCATTTCAATGATTTTGATTCGCGTTGAAGAGGGGTGGGAAGGATGGTTTGTGGTGAATGTACTTGGGTCCTACCAATCATCGTTTACAAGCAATAAAATGAGTGTAATCATACCATATACTCATATGGCATGTAAATTTGATTCTTTGGTGATGGATTTGTTTCTTTAAAAAAAGGTGGCATTAAGACATAGGCAAGCCTAGTATGACCACCACTAGTTCTTAACGCCCCCTTAGACTTGCATGGTTTCTAAAAGACAAAATTAGAAGAAGAAGGAAACACTCAATTAAAATGTTACGTGCTCTTGAATTTTATAGATTATAAAACTACGGGAATTAGCATAAAAGGTGTAGAACACGTCACAAGAAAACCAAAAGACTTGTAGCAAGAGGTTTGAGTACATATTTTTCTCCTCAGAAAAAGAACACTATGGATTGCTTCAACAAACAAAGAATTCTATGGATTCATATCATATCCACAACCACTAGTCACAAATTATTCCATGAGGTGGTTAGGAACGTTGGACTTGCCTCCGTCAGGAGTCAGGAGTCGCCCAAAATCTTGAGGTTTGGGTTCCGAGCGGGAGCGCGGGAGATGCCGGTCTGACGACAAGCGATGGCCCATCCTCCTTCTGCCGCCAGCCCACGCTCCTCGAGACAAGGCGTTCATGGACATTGTGGTGGGCAGTTGTTACGTGTTGATTCCGCAACAACACATGGCCTACAAGTGTCGGATCATCAAGGACGACTAGTAATAGGAAAAGGCCTCATGCTCAACTAAGAACATAATTCAGGGTGTAATTTGCATTTTGAAGTGGGGGTGCTAGCCAACCCATGTGCATTCATCCTATCGCACTAAACGTGATCTAGTGGTCCAGAATACACCGGAGCACCGTATCACCAGAGAGGTCGTATCACCATATATGCTCTTGAAGGCCCCATCCATGTTGATTTAATCATATCCTCGGGTGGTGGCCTCCACTTTAGCACCGTTTTTATCTTTCTCCTTTCTCCTAAAACTCTGAGAATACTCTATGGCAACTTGCTCTTAGGGGCATTTTAGAAGGGGAAACAGTGTCAAAGTCATTTTTTAGACAATCTCGCGAAGCTTTTATTCAAGTGGTCATAATGGTTACAGGTACAAAACCAAGATCATCGGGGTGACCCAACCAAACATGGCGGCCCACCCCTAAGTTCAAACCTCACTTCGCTAGATTATGAGCCTCAAAATTTGAGCTCCTAAATTCATGGACAAAGCTACACACCAAAAAAGTACTGTTGTGATCCATAATGTCGTTTATGATGGCTCCGTAGCTCGCCCCGTTCCGCTTCTTGATGTCGTCCACTGCCACCTTGCAGTTAGATGCAACCTATATCCTTCGTAGATTCAAATCATCAGCGAGGGCTAGTGCCTCCTTAATCGCCAAAACTTCCAAAGTTGGGGGATCGCTGAGGGAGTCCTGGATAAGGGGGTATCCCGACAGCCG